AGAAAAGATTTCTATTTTAAATAAATGCTGTTCTTTTTAACTTTATTCATCAAATAATCCTGAAAAAAGTATCACAGGTTTCACAAAAAAAATATATATATAATAAAAATATATATATTAAGCAGCAAAAACAATAAAAATTGATAATAAATCAGCATATTAGAATGATTTCTGAAGATCATGTGACACTGAAGACTGGAGTAATGATGCTGGAAATACAGCTTTGATCACAGAAATACATTACATTTTAAAATACATTAAAATAGAAAACATTTATTTAAATGGTAATAATATTTTACAATATTACTTTAAAAATCTTACTGATTCCAAACTTTTGAACAGCAGTGTATATATGTGTGTGTGTGTGTTATTTTCTTTAAAGGGGAAGTGCATCATTTCTGTGCCACTGCATCATTTGTTTGACAGACTGCCAGAGAAACAGTATGAGGCTGAAGATGAAGATGATGATGTTAATGTCTTGCTGACGCAGACATCTTACCTGACCCTTTCATGATGTAGTCGACGGCTCGATCGTTGATGGCAGAGTCGCTGGGCTTGATGTCCATGAACGGCTTGTTTCCAATTCCCATCGAAACCATCTCCTGCATCCGCAACTCTAATGATCAAACATACACACACACACACACACACACACACACACACACACAATATAAAACCATCAACACAAGCTAGAGTGAATAATGCCACAGGCTTTATTAGCACAGCGTTTCTTCATAAGCAGGTTTATTAAATCTACTGCCAATTATTTTCAGCTTCTAATAATAACACAGAGACAAAAATGGCCCACAATGCATTGTCAGTGAGACCGCAGCGCTGAAATGAATTTCTGTTCATACATCTGTCTGTTTTGACTGGTTAGTAACTAATCTTGACTAGCTGTGAACGACAGACAGCAGTGTTTCCTGCAGCAGTGAGACGCACATGACATTTAAAAGAGTTGTGAGCTTTTAGTTTGATTAAACAAAATGAAATAAAAAGATGATGTTTTCACAACAAACAAACAGAACCACCATAGTCTGATTCACAAACAAATGACTTTTATGAACCGATTCTTTCTGCTTCACAAACATATGACTCTTATGAGCCAATTCTTTCTGATTCACAAACATGATTCACAAACAGATGTCTCATATGAGCCGATTCTTCCTGCTTCACAAACATATGACTCTTATGAGCCAATTCTTTCTGATTCACAAACATGATTCACAAACAGATGACTCATATGAGCCGATTCTTTCTGATTCACAAACATATGACTCTTATGAGCCAATTCTTTCTGATTCACAAACATATGACTCTTATGAGCCAATTCTTTCTGATTCACAAACATATGACTCTTATGAGCCAATTCTTTCTGATTCACAAACATATGACTCTTATGAGCCAATTCTTTCTGATTCACAAACATATGACTCTTATGAGCCAATTCTTTCTGATTCACAAACATATGACTCTTATGAGCCAATTCTTTCTGATTCACAAACATATGACTCTTATGAGCCAATTCTTTCTGATTCACAAACAAATGACTCGTATGAGCCGATTCTGTCTGATTCACAAACATATGACTCTTATGAGCCAATTCTTTTTGATTCACAAACATATGACTCTTACGAAACAATTCTTTCTGATTCTCAAACATATGACTCTTATGAGCCAATTATTTCTGATTCACAAACATATGACTCTTATGAGCCGATTCTTTCAGATTCACAAACAAATGACTCGTATGAGCCAATTCTTTCAGATTCACAAACATATGACTCTTATGAGCCAATTCTTTCTGATTCTCAAACATATGACTCTTATGAGCCAATTATTTCTGATTCACAAACATATGACTCTTATGAGCCGATTCTTTCAGATTCACAAATAAATGACTCGTATGAGCCGATTCTTTCTGATTCACAAACATATGACTCTTACGAAACAATTATTTCTAATTCTCAAACAAATGGCTCTTATGAGCCTGTTCTTTTAAATGAATTGGTCAAAAAGACTCTGAATTACCAAATTACTGAATTTATGAGAGTGTTATTGACTGACTGAATCTTTATATAGTTAAAGATTCAAGACACTACATGTAAACAGGGTAAAATCTAACAAATATCGCCATACATACCCAGATGATTGATTACAATAAGAACTGCTAAAAAAATTATATTACACATTTTCTGAAATGTTGTTTAAATATGCGAATGGGGCATTATCTAATGAAACATGCACTAATTTGCATAGAATATCTTGATGATCTCTTTTTATCACTCCATAAATCTCACAAATCCTGTTTCACCATGCATTACTTAGGTAATGCCTACATAATGCGTATAAATATAAAATTATATAAATAATTTTAAATATTATTTTTCTATATTATACAATGTACACAGAGGGGATTTTGGATAATAATATCTATATTTTATATTATAATAATATTGATCACATTTAATTAAATGAATATTATTTTTCTATTTAATATAATTATTATTTAAATTATATATTATTATTATTTAAATTTATATAATTTATTTTGTAATTTATTTTATATATAAAAATATTATAATTATTTTAAAAATCTAATCTATTTATCTATAATATAATATAATATAAAATCTATATATATTATGTTTAGGAAGAGCATTAATTTCTCATAAATTTACTGAAAGTCACATTAGAGTTAAAGGTTTTTTCCAGAGGGTATTTTGGATTTCTCTTTTTATTACTCCATGAATTGAAAACACTATCAAGATTTTAACCATATTTTTAGGATTGTTTTTAATATAAATTTAGATGAATGATATATGAACAAACCCCTCAGTAAATAAATATAGACAGGAATAAAACTGTAAAGTTTGGTGCTGCTGAAGTGAAGAAAAACTCACGGCTTTTAAAGATATTAATTGTATTATTGCCGTATTTTCATGACTTAAAGGGGTCCTATTATGCTTTTTCACTTTTTCAACTTTAGTTAGTCTGTAATGTTGCTGTTTGAGCATAACAAAGATCTGCAAAGTTACAAAGCTCAAAGTCCACTTCAAAAGGAGATATTTTATTTAACAGAAATCACTTTTTAAAAACTACAACGAACGACTCGTTTGGACTACAACGCATATTTTCCGGGATTTGCGATATCACAAATATCGACGAATGGGACGAGACCTGGTTGAGCTGCACTAGAGAAGGCAACGCCAGTCACAACACACACTGGCCCAGTTAACCAATCACAGCACACACTGGCCCAGCTAACCAATCACAGCACATTTCGTATTTCAGAAGGCGGGCCTTCATTTGATTCAGGAACTATTCGAGCCGTTCATGCCATACTGGGGAGAGAGGTGTTGTAATAATGTAAAATATGTGAAAAATAATGTGTTTTTCGAACAACCTAGTATGAGAGCCAAGACTTTGTAAAAGAGCATAATAGGACCCCTTTAATAAAAATCAAAATAATAATATTGTTTTGCTTAGTATGTAGTCATGAAACGGCTCAGATGAACAGTTATTTATTTATTTATATTTGATTTGATTTTTTTATTTAATGCAATGCATTGGGTGCTGCTGTCTCACCTCGGTTTCGTAAGGCTTGTCTCCACAGGATCTTGCCGATGACGGAGGTCCAGGCGTTCTTCACCTCTCCAGAAGCGGCCTGCAGGATGAAGGTGTCCTGTGATTTCCTCCGGCGAAACCAGATCTCGAAGCGCAGCCCGCTGTCTCCCACGCTCTCCGTCATCCCGATCTCAGCCGTCTGAGACGAGAACAAACACTCTTCATCTCACAAAACTCACTCTGTGGTCTGACACCAGACTCGTATTCTGTACCTTGAAGGACTGCTTGTATATGCAGATGTCGTATCCTCCTTCAATCTTCTTGGTCTTGCTGAAGAGGATGAGATCCTCGAAAAGGAAAACGTGACGCAGGTATTTTTTGCGTCCGCACCAAACGATGAACTCGTCCTGACAGCGGAGCTGACCCTGCTCCTTCAGATTGACCTGAGAAACACAACACAGTATATATATCAGTTTCAATCAAATCATGTCAACAGATAATCAAACTGATAACATAAGCTTATTCAAATTAACTCAGTATTTTTTTTTGTGAAATACAGTAAAAAATAATTGTATTACAGTAAGATGCATAATTTAAAATAATAGGAACTACGAAAGAGATATGATTTAATGATAAAATGAATAAATAAAACTAACAAATAAATAAATAAATAAATGAAACTTAAAATAATAATTCATTTTAATAATTTATTTTATTTGCTTTAAATATTAAATATTTATATACCTAAAAATGTTTACATTTATTTCAATAAAATATATTTCTATTTTTAATTATGTCTTATTTAATTATTAAATAGTTATTTATTTTTATTTTTTATATTTATTATTATATTTATTTATTATTTTATTTAAAACAAATAAACAAACAAATAAATAATACATTTATTTATTTGAATAACATTTAATCAATTAATATTTTAAAAAGCAATTATTTATTTAATTTAATTATTAAATAACTATTTGTGTTATTTACATTAAAATTGAGTTACTCAAATATATAAACAAACGCAATTATTTATTTTTATTAAAATGTATTCAAATTATTATAAATTACTTATTAAAATAAATTATTTTTAAATAAAAATTATTTTATTTACATGATTTAAATAAATAAATAATACAATTATTTATTTGAATAAAATTTAGTCAAATAAATAAAAATTTTTTTAAATAATATAAAAAAAAAAAGATTTATTTAATTATCCAAATTATTTATTTTATTTACTTTACGTTATTTACTCAAACAAACAAACAATTATTTATTTAAATGTAAATTTTTAAATAAAAATATTAATTTTATTTATTTATTAAACAGTTATTTATTTTATTTACATTAAATGTAATTTTCTCAAATAAACAAATAAATAAAATTATTTATTTGAATAAAATGTATTCAAACACATTATAATAATGATTTAATTTAAAGGAAACTCCGCTTACGTCACATCCCCGGATGGCGTCCATGGCCAGCAGGTCGTTTCCGTGGCGCAGCTGGAACTTGACCATCTCCTCCGCTGTTCTGAGGTCAGTGAGCTCCTGCTCCTGAGACTGACTGCACTCCTTGATCAGATCCTTCAGGAGCAGAGCGTATTTACTCATCCTCTGGATGGGCTTCAGCAGGTACGACGCCAGGTCCATCTTATCGCCCAGCTCCAGCTGCTTGTTCTGCAGAGCACAGGTAACATTCAGAAACGTCCAGCAGCTCGTGTGAATAACGCCACGGAGGAGAAACACCATTGGTTACCTTGAAAAAATTGTTTCCGTGGCTCGTTAGCAAGGCGTCTGAGCGCGGCTTGTTTTTGCTGTACAAGGCGTACATCCCGAACTGTTCCTCCTAACCGTGGAAAAAACACATTTATATCTCACATAGAGGTGGACACTTTGGACAAAATCTCATAAGATTTTAAGATGTATTTTAACAGCATTTATCGAGAGCAACCAAGAGCAACAAATTGCAACAAGGTTGACAAATTTCTACCATTGCATATTATACGCATTATCATTTAAAAGTCTGGAGTTTTATTCAAAAAATTATATTTTAAAATTTTTTATTTTATTTAATTATTAAATAACGACAAATTTTATTTACATTAAATGAAAAATTAAATATTATTTATTTGAAGTAAATGTATTCAAGTAAATGGTAGTATTTTTAAATAATAATTATTTATTTTACTTAATTATTAAACAATAAATTAATTTAATTAATTATTAATATTTATTTTATTTACATTAAATGTTCTTTTCTTTTAAAAATTAAAAATCAATAAAATTATTTATTCAAATAAATTAAAAATTAATAAAATTATAATAGTAATTAGTATAATAATAATATAATAACATATAATAAATATTTAAATAATATTTATTTATTTATTTAATAAGTAATTATAATATATTTAATTTACATTAAATGTTCTTCATTCAAATAAATAAATAAATATCATAATTATCAAAGTTTTTTTGTCTTATAAATAATTATATTTTAAAATTATATATTTTTTAAAATAGCTATTTTTTGTAGTTATATACACTATACACAGTATTTAAAAAAAATTTGGGGTCAGTAATAAATTAATAAAAATTATAAATGAATTAAACTGATGAAAAGTGACAGAAAAGACACAGTAAATGCTGTTATTTTTCCAATTCAAATAAAGCTTTCCGTTCTTTCATCCAATTTTCTGTTCATCAAAGAATCCCAAATAAAAATGTATGATCATTTCCACAAAAAAAAAAAACAGTTTTCAACATTGATAATAATCAGAAAAGTTTCTGGAGCAGCAAATCCGCATATTAGAATGATTTCTGAAGATCATGTGACACTGAAGACTGGCGTAATGATGCTGAAAATTCACAGAAATAAATTACAGTCTAACAGATATTCACATAGAAAACAGTTATTTTAAATTGTAATAATATTTAAAATTTTTACTGTATTTTTGATCAAATAAATGCAGCCACGGTGAGCAGAAGAGACTCCTTTGCTTCATTAACCATCACGTGGACTCACGTGTTTGAGGAAGCAGCTGCTGATGGACAGCGGTGAATGAGCGCAGCTCTCCAGATCCGTCAGGAAATACTGGCTGTGAAAATCACACAGCTTCTCCAGATTCCCAAAAATGATGCTGCGCTTCCCTCGGAGGTCCTGAGGAAGGTCCAGGCGCTCCATCTCAGGGAAGTAGTGCTGGATGATGTAGCTGAGGGATCTCACGTACTCTCTCTCGGTGGAGATCATCTCGTCCATGATGTGCTGGGTTTTACTGAAACGAACGACAGCAGCGATGCAGCATGAATACAGCGATACATCGTACTGACGGAGAATGCGTCTCTAGGCATTCAGATGTTATGAGTTTGCTAATGAGACTTTTTAAAATCAGCTTTAAAATGTGCATTTACAGTCAATGTTAGCGTGAAGACGTAGAGAAAAACATACACAAGACCATATAAAAATCTCATTATTTCAGTCGTCTCAGGCTGCATTTATAGTCTAATACTTTTACTAAATTATTAAAACTGAACAAATCAATAATAATATCAGTAGTAATACTATACTGTAAAATAAAAAAATTTGAGTTTATTTATAAAATGAAATAGTTAATAACAGTAAAAAATACAAATAATTACTATTATTTGTTTAATTATCTCTATTATTTACTATTATTACTAATAGTCTTTATTATTATTATTATTATGATCATCGTCATCACAATCATCATTTTTAAAATTAAATTATAATAATTAATTCATTAAATTATACACAAATCTGTCTTTATTATTATTATTATTATTAAATTATAATTATTTATTCAGCAAAATTAAATCAATTTTAATAAAATGTAATAAAATAAATAAAATTTACATTAGTAGTTTTTCTAAAGTAATAATACTATAATGTAAAATATAACTGAACATTTAATAATGATAACAATAAAAATAATATTTTTTGGTTATTTTATTATTTCATTTAATAACAATAATAATAATAATTTTATGGTTATTTTATTAAGTTATAACATTTAAACAAATCAATAAAGAAATATATTTCTAAATAATTATTATTTATATAAATAGAAATATATTTAAAGAAAATCAAGTATTTGATAAAATATATTATTAATTTTATTACTTTTTTTAACAGAACAACAGTAGAAATACAAATAAGTACTACTACTATTATTTATGTTTAATTATCAACTT